AGGGTGTTGCAAGTATCATCAATCAACTCCATCATGCATATCACTCAGAGGATGATTTTCCAACCATGCCCACTTGTAAGTATTCCCAAGATAGGCATCGGGTTAAGTGCGCCCGGGTTAGTATAATGAGCGGGGAAAAGATCATCAACACTCTTGTGGCCCGGCCAGTCAACAAGAAGGAGATAAGATCCAACCCTAAAGCTCAGGAATCTCTTGACATTGAGTGGAATAAGCTCGTCAAGAAAACTGCCTGGTTGTACGATACCGTACAAGAGTGGAGCGTAGTCTCCGATGGTGCCAAAAAGAAAGGGAAGAAAGTACATGTTGGAAAAGTGTTTGAAATTTGTGTTGAAAAGGGTAGTGAACTTCCAGTGGGCCACAAGCTTAGGAAATTTAAGGGTAGAACGGTATTCCAGGGCAACAATGTCCGTGACGAGAACGCCGATGTTGCTCTTTTCTCCGAGCTGGGTTCATCGCCTGCAACCATGGAGGCTGGTAAAGCTGTGGATGCATATGGTTCTCAACCCGGACACATAACTCAACAGAATGACGGTGTCCAAGCATATACTCAAGCACTAATGGAAGGGATTGAAACCTGGGTGGAACTTCCAGTTGATAGATGGCCCAAACATTGGGTAGGCAAGTACAGACGCCCCGTTGTACTCCTTCGCATTGCCTTATATGGTCACCCTGACTCGGGGGGACTTTGGGAAATTCACTGCGAAAGAATGCTCATAGCGGTGGGGTTCATAATGCCTGACCCGGAAGGGTGGCCATCGGTGTTCTTTCATCCTGAATTGAAGCTCCTCTTGGTAGTGTATGTAGATGACTTCAAAATGTCAGGTCCTAAAGAGTCGATGTCGAAAGGATGGGAGTTAGTCGGATCCAGAATCGATATGGATGTCCCCACTGACATTGGTCGATATCTCGGATGTGATCATGTTCAAGAACTTCAAGTTAAGTTGACGGTTCATGATCACCCTTTCGCTCACCTCTTCGACAAGTCCCTTCCTGATCCCGCCGCCAAGGAGGCCGCAGCAGCGGAGAGGACCCAGGACTTTTGGGAAGTTGACGCATCCAAAGGAGTCTACATCAGACATCACTGTCAACCAAGAAAGGGATTTTATGTTCCAGACGAAGAAATCATAACTGCATGTAACTTGACTGATGTTAGGTTTACTGACTTTGTGCAAAGCACGTCGGAAGACGATGCCGTTTCTGAATGGGACAAGTACCTTGATGAAACGGGGGGCTATGCACAAGGGAAGAGAAAGCCTGCATTATGGGTAGGTGCCACTTACCTATTTACCAAAAGATCCCAAAATTGCAGTTGCATCAATTAAAAGAGATAAAAACGATGCCAAGAAGAAAGCAAGAGCTCAAGGTTTCAGATACATGGACCAATTGTTCAAAGATCAACCTTGTATGTCCAAGCCAGTGAATGTAATGACATACGACATGCAACCCTTTTTGCAATCATGTATTGACCGATACCAGTCACTTGCCGGTAAAGACGCCAAACCCCTCAAGCAGGTATCCACTCCTTTTCATGAAGAAAGGATCGCAAGACCTCTGGAAGGGGAGTCCGAGCCGAAAGGTGCACTTGCTCCAATAGCTGCAAGGGTTTTGATGAAGATCCTATTTGCCGCCCGTATGGCAAGATATGACTTGCTTAGAGCCGTGCAAGGACTAGCAGCTAGGGTAACAAAATGGTCAGTAGATTGCGATAAGGCATTGCACAGATTAATTTGTTACATACATTCTACATTGGATCACAAGCTCAAAGCCTTCGTTGGCGATCGAATTCAAGAGTGCAAACTTTGGTGTTTTGCCGACGCCGATCATG